GCAAAGCAGTAGAAGTTTGGCAAGACTTCCTCAAAGCAGCAGCTGACTGGAAAATGATCACAATTTTGCAGGATTATTAGGCCAATGTCGGAAAACCTCTTATTAAATGCTCATCTCTTTAGCTTAAACTCCTATCATTCTTCTACGTGGAAACATTAAGAGTTGAAGCTTCAATTTACATATATACACTCAATGTCACACAACTCTCCAGAAAAAAGACCTAGACTGACTGCCATCATAGCGGACACATGCCCTTGTCACGATGAGGGAAAGCAGCTCCTCTGGCTGGTGCCGGTGCGCCCACGAGGCAGGCACCTATGGTGGGAAATGAACCGTCTTCCCAACGAGCCACTGTCTTAGGAAATGATATGTCTTCCTGAATGTGGTCCTCTCTGCTGTCCTGTTAGCTGTAGTATAAAACTAGGAGTGGCTTGCACTGTTGAAATTAGAAGTTATTCCCTGGCAGTGAGAAGTCTCTGTGCTAAAAGGTAGTGTGGTGGTTCTTGGGGCGTCTGGGTGGCTCAGTCGATTAAGTGTCTCACTCTTGGTTTCCGCTCAGGTTGTGATCTCAGAGTTGGGAGATGGAGTCATTTGGGCTTGTACTCAGCAGGGAGTCTGCTTAAGATTTTCTCTTTCTCCCTCTGCCCCTCCCTCTCTTTCCCTCATCCCCTACTCATGCGCTCCCATGTGCACACACTTTCTCTCTCTCTCTCTCATAAAATCTTTAAAGGGCAGTGTGGCATTTTCAAACGTGACTGGAGGTTGTAGTATTAATGCTTTTTCTCACCACCAGGAGCCAGATTTACGTGATTTGGGGTGTGGTCTGCGCATCAGGGGGTTTTAAAAGAATAGCCGAGTTTGAGAACCACTAAGTTAGGAAAACCCATTTTCTGGTCTTGCTGACTGGCTTCAGGAAAGGTGTCAACCTCTGTGTATGCTTCGTAATGTGTTGTATTGCCTCAAAGGTTGTTTCAATTCTGGAAAAGATATAGGTTTTCCATATAAGGTTTTGCTGAATTGCAAGGAATTTACATTTATTTTTCTTGCTCCCTTGTTAAAGTCCTGGGTGAAAGGACCTACAAAAGCATTTATTTTTTTAAAGTAGGCTGTCTAATGAAAAGTAAATCATGTGGCTCACTTATGAAGACAAGCATAAAACCTTTCCAAGTCAAATACTAAATCTTTCAAAAAATTCTTAACGCTTAATTTACTTAATTCAAACATTTATGTGATGTCTTCAGTGCATGTTGTATATGTGTTTTGAGTGAGTAAATAATGTTTTGAGGATTACTCCTAATTTTCAGGGAAACAAAGTTTAGAATATGTGCGGGAACAAAATGATATGTAGCTGGGAAAGCACGTTCAGGGCATTGTAATAGCACATATCAGCAGAAGAAGGAATCCAGTAGCTATGTGCCAAGCTTGGCTGATGGCAATCAGCAAGAGGAAATTGCTCTCAACTCTAACAAGATCAAATCAGATAAACTGACTCTTTTCTTGACCATTGAGTTTTTTCTACTCTAGAACGAGTTGCTGAAGGGGGTTAAGAGTCTCAACCTTCTGAAGGGTTTCCTGTAGACGTGCCTCAAGGTGAAAAAAGGAGAAAAACAGTTCCCGAATCTGGCCACTCTACTGTCATACTTTAGTGAAATATGTAAACTCTAAGTTCCAGGACTTGCCTGCAGGGATTCTGATTCAGCCCTTCTGGAGAGGTCTTAGAGTTTGTACTTGTAAACTCCCCAGGGAATACTGATGATCAGCCAGCGTTGGGACCCACTGGATGATGTGTACACCCAAGTTCTGTTCCAGTGCTGCTTCATAGGCTCCTGATGACCAATCTGTCCTGCTGTTTAGTGATTTTCAATTACTCCTGATTTGTGAGCACATTTGCTCAGTAGATTGGCTATCAGGACCCTGTCAAATAAGGAATTTTTTTTAAAGATTATTTATTTGGGGGGGGGTTTGTGCACCAGAAGGAGAGGGAGAGAGAGAGAGAATCTCAAGCAGACTCCATGCGCTGAGAACGGAGGCTGAAGTGGGGCTCAATCTCAGACCCTGAGATCATGACCTGAGCCAAAATCAAGAGTCAGACGCTTAACTGACTGAGCCACCCAGTTGCTCCATATGAAATATTTTTATAAAAAAAAATTACTGTAAATGTGCAAATAAGGCTAATCGAATATATTCTATAGGTCCTTTAGTAGTATGTGAATACACATGATTCATACTACTAATTGACTTCATTGTAAACAAGTATTAATTTGTAACTATGTAATTGACTAATTGACTTCATTGTAAACAAGTATTAATTAACACCCAGCTAGTGGAGCTCAGCTAAAAAAAATTTGTTTTTAAATAAAATATGTTATTCTTACTTCCTTGGGCTTTTAAAATAACTCCACGAGTATAATTCATATACCATAAAATCTACCCTTTGAAAGTATACAATTCAGTGGTTTATAGTACATTCACAAAAAAATATGCCCCCATTATTATCTAAATCAAGAATATTTTCGTCATCCCTCCCAAAAAGCCTCTTCCCCATTAGCAGTCACTCCGCAGTTCCTCCTTTCTCCATCCCCTGACAAATGCTAACTTATATCCCGTCTCCACGAGTTTGCCTATTCTGGACATTACATGTGTAATGCCATAATGTCATAAAATCTGTGGCCTTTTACATCTGGCTTCTTCCACTTAGCATGTTGTCAAGGTTCATCCACGTCGTAGCATGTGTCCCTACCTTTTCCTTTTTATGGCTGAATAATATTCCGATGCGTGGCCATGCCACATTTTGTTTATCCATTCATCCATTAATGGACATTTGCATTGTTTCCTTCTGGGGATTGTTATGAGCATTTGTGTACAAGTTTTTGTGTGGATATATGTTTGCATTTCTTTTGGGTATAGACCTGGGACTATTGATCATTTAGAAGCTGGTTGATTGATATATGGGAGTATACTACTATTCCCTCAAATTGTGTATATGTTTGAAGTTTCTTGTAATAAAAAGTAAAGAAAAAAAGGAAAAACCCTCATGTAGTTTCAAAAGTTGCCACAAAATTAAGCCCATGGAAAAAATGTTACTTTTGAGAAAAAAATATTTAGACAGAATTATTCATTGGCTTAGAAGTGAGTTTAATATGTGAGAGTAACTTAAAAAATATATGGGAATAATATATCAATGGAGATAAATCAATTTAAAGATGACTTGTGTTAGAGTTTTTACCCCTTATTTTCAGGGCAAGTAAGCTGAACTTCAGAGTTCAATAACTTCTTGGTTTATCTCTGTTACATTAGATCCCTTGATCATAGAATGAAACAAAATGGATATTTTTATCTTTTAAAATAGATTTGATTGCTGCAAGAGACACATCGACCATTGTCAGCTTAAGTAAAGGTTGTTTAAGTTGATATTGATTAATATTTATAATTGGGTTTGAATTTTCTATATAGGCTCACATCCATTAATTATAAATAGCCTTTAAGAAGAATCAAAATGAAAATTAAAACCTTCCTAACAGAACAAAATGCTACTGGATACAAAGTTTTTTGTTTTTTTTAATTACCCCCCCACTTCTCTCCCTTCAGAAGATGTCTTCTGTTCTACTGAAGCACAGACTATAGATCCCTTGAGTACTAGCCATAATTATTTTTTTAAAAGATTTATTTATTTTAGAGAGAGAGTGGGGGGAGGGGCAGAATGAGAGGGAGAGAGAATCTCAAGCAGACTCCCTGCTGAGCATGGAGCCCGATGCAGGGCCCAATCTCATGACTCTGAGATCATGACCGGAGCCAAAATCAGGAGTTGGACACTTAACCAACTGTGCCATCAACGCACCACAGTTCCAGCCATAATTTAATTCTAACCTCTAGGACATGAATGTGGTTATGGGAAGCAGAATTTTAAGGTCAGTCAATGAAAACCACCCTCAGGCTATCACTCAATGACATTTTGCTGTGGAAATTCCAGATCTCAAGATATACCTACTGGAGCCCAATACAAACCAGTCAAATAAAGATTAATGAGGAAATATTAAGCATCTGTCCGTTTTATGCTTGACAGCTTTATTTTATGTAAAGTACCTACAAAGTAATATCACTGATACTTTGTCTATTATTTTAAGCTTTCCAAAGTGCCTTAAGAATATTAAGTTTGTTTTGGGGCCCTTGGGTGGCTCAGTCAGTTAAGCGTCTGACTTCAGCTCAGATCATGATCTCAAGGTCCTGGGATCGAGCCCTGTGTTGGGCTCTGTGCTCAGCAGGGAGTCTGCTTGTCTCTTTGTCCCTCTCCCCGCTCATGCTCTTTCTCTCCATCTCTCTCCTCTTTCTCTCTCTCAAATAAATAAATAAATAAATTCTTTTTTTAAAAAGATTTTTTTGTTTAAAGATTTTATTTATTTATTTGAGAGAGAGAGAGAGGGAGAGAGAGAGAGAGAGCACAAGCAGGGGGAGCGGCAGGCAGAGGGAGAAGCAGGTTCCCCACTGAGCAAGGAGCCCGATGCGGGGCTCGATCCCGGCACCCTGGGATCATGACCCGAGCCGAAGGCAGATGCCCAACCGACTGAGCCCCCCAGGCATCCCATAAATAAAATATTTTTAAAAAAGAATATTAACTTGGTTTTTATTAATTTAATAAGTTCAAGTCACAGGGTCATAAAGCTTGTCATGGCATTTTTAAGATTATTAGCTGGAGAACTAGCAAAGAACGTCTTAAATTTGCATGGGTAAGTCCACCTGTATGGTAGTCATCCATACATATCTGTAGTGTTTGTTTGTTAAGCTTTCCTCTAGAGAAAACAGAGTATATCCTCAGAGTTATACAGAATATCATGCAAATTATGGGGTGCCAGTGAGTATGTGTTAGATGGGCGAATGGGTGCTTTCATGGAGAAGCCCAGTTCTGAGCCCTGACCTATTCAACTGACAAGTTTATATGCTCTCTGCCAATACAGATCTCATGTCCAAAAATTACAGTCCCTCTGTGCTTTCTCTTTTCCTAGGTTATTTTAAACTGCTTCTCTGAAGATACAAGTATTCTATTTTGAGAAGGTTTTTATAGAAATAGAAAAATGAGCTCAGGAAGCCAGACCCGGAAGGTCCCACAGTGATCATTTAATCTAAATAGTCCCTTCACAATTGAGGAAGGAAGGAGAATGTAAGTCCTGAACTTGGAGGGACTCCACTTCCACCAACTGGTCAAAGATTAATTTCATTAATTGTGACATTTGCATGGCTCCATCGCTCAACACATGTGTACTGATCCCCTAATACATGCCAACCACTGTATTGGACTTTGGATCCAGCAGTGGACAAAGGAGATTAAATTTCTGAGCAAATGGGGGGTGCCTGGGTGGCTCAGTTGGTTAAGCAACTGCCTTCGGCTCAGGTCATGATCCTGGAGTCCCTGGATCGAGTCCCGCATCGGGCTCCCTGCTCGGCAGGGAGCCTGCTTCTGCCTCTGACCCTCCCCCCTCTCATGTGCTCTCTCTCTCTCATTCTCTCTGTCTCAAATGAATAAAAATTAAAAAAAAAATCTTTAAAAAAATTTCTGAGCAAATGGGATTTATGTTGAACAAGAATGAGGCATAGCAGTGGGGAAAAGGAGAGAAAGAAACTGTGGGCAGCCTCATTTGATATAGTCTAACTATGAAAATCACGTCCCTGTCAATAACCAGAGAAAATTCCCTTCCCCTATAGAATGAAAATATTTCTACTTTCTACCTATCTAATCCACTTTTCATTTCAAATTATAACAAACCATAGTCTTGGGGTTTTTTTTTTTTTGTTAGAAACTCTCAACCCACAAATCACATAACTTCTGTGCTCATGACTTCTCATCTGTAAACTGAGGATTAGACCACAGGGTTATTTAGATTTCCTTCTACCTTTGAGACTCTTCATTAAGTAGAGCCTCACAAGTGTTTTGGATTCTTTTTCCTACTCTTCCCTGGCCTTCCCATGAGGGGCTCGGAGGCTGATCCCTCGGTTTCTATATCTAAAAGACCTCCTGGCTCTTGTAGTTTAGCTTGTGACACAGTGATAAAGGGAGAAAGTCAGACATGTTTCCTGAAGTACAGCAATCTTCTGGCTTTTTCTTTACTTTTAGATCCATAGAAGGAAGAGCTGACAAGACCATCAATCATTGTGCAGGAATAAATACTGCTAAACTTGTCAGCTTTTTGATCCTTCCCAGATCTTTTTTTTAGCTCAGTTCTTGGAAAAGGGAACTTTGCCAAGGTTTTTATTTTTCTTTGCGCTGTCATATTTGCCGGGCCAAGGATAGAATATTGAGGTCATATGATTTTAGGACTCAGAAAATCGCATGGTAATAAAAGCGGAACCAAACTAAGTAACTATACATGCGTAGTGATATAAAAATGAGAAAATGCATTTTCAAAAGAAACTTAAAAGGCAAATGATCTCATGTTGAGTTTACTTTGTCAATTTCTTTAAAGAGTCTACTGGAGACGCTAAATAAAGGTTTTCTATGGTGCCAAGCTTTGCATTCATTTCAGGTGGGCTTTTTGTTCAATGCCACAAAGTATCCACAACCATTCACTTACAGAAAAGAGCCAGTGTGAGCCACAGTGAAATCAATCCATGGTTAGCCAATTGTTCACTCTGGATTAGAGCCTGACTGGGAGGCAAGTCAGTATTGCCCCTGGCAAGTTTATGTACCAACAACAGAAAACAAATTGCAGATCAGGAATACCTGGTAGGTCATGTAGCTGGCAAGTGGTGATCATCTCATTCTACAAGTGGGAAGTCATATCCCATGCAGTGCTCCTGTATCTTCTTTCCACATAGGTAATTCCTCCCTTTGTTATAAGATTAAATACAAGTTCATCTTCCTCTACAAAATCTTCTCAGACCACTGCAGCCCATGAAGGTTACTGTTTTGTTTGAACTAAAAGCACAACTATTTGACTCATCTGTCAATTAATCATGTTCCCCATCTTGTGAAACTATGTTGTATTTTTTCTTTTTGCATCTTTAAGTGTAAGCATGCCTTATCAGATACTAGATTATAAATTACATTTTTAAAATTTTCATTTTTTTGGACCTGATATTATATATTGAAGATATTTAACTAGATTTGCTCAAGATTTAGCTTTTCTTAACTCTGTCACAAAAAAATACTGCAAAAAACATAGTTAACTTTAAGCAAAAATTGAAAGTATGCTGATATATCTTCTTGACTCTATTATTTTCATTTTTCCAGGCCAGAGGGCCACAGTATCCTCCAACTTTGTCTTGTATTTAGGCAGCCAGTACCTTTAATTTCCTCCCCGCCAACAGGAAGAATTTAACTTTGGTCACTTATATCTCAGAATAAATATAATCCTTCTTTCCCAAGAGAATTAGCAGTTTCATCCAATTCTGCTAGTGAAATGACAGACTTTATCACCCTTCAGAGGAGTTGCCCAGGAGCAAATTTGGGAGGCAAAGAGAGAAGAAAGTCAAGTAATGGTGGCCCAGATAGACCCAAATGGGGGGAAATGATACTATTTTGACAGCAGTCTTCTCTAGCAATCCATTTGGTTCAAAGACTAGGAACAGCAACATCTTCAACTATAAAGTTCTGGTAAGATATTTAGAACCATCTGAACTCAGAACTAGTCACTGCTAGGTAGTCAGTCAATGAAGACATTTTCCAAGAAGAATTTCAGGTCAATACTTGAGATACCTGCATCCTTTTATTGAGGAAGGCTGGTTGTTGATGGAAGCTAAGCACTTCTTCCTGAGCAATGATTATACTTTGTATAGATACTAAACAAAAGCGAGAACAATAAAAGAGAGAACATTCATTGTCAGAAAACATTCACCGTGAGAGTCCTACTCAGTGAAGAAAGCATAAGGGAGGAGAACTTTAGCATAGAAGTGCATATTGGCAGCTCTCAGAACGCTTTAACGCAAAACACGTCATTAATTAAAGAAACATACATCCATAATATATTTAACAGGATTTAGCAGGAGGATGGTTCAAATTTTAGAAAATTCTAATGTAAAAAATTTGCCAATCTTCCAAATGATGTAATGATACTGATTTGCTAAGTACCTAATTATCATCTTCATCATTATTTATCCAAAGGCACGAAACCTTTTAGTTTTGATAACTAAAGTGACTACGTATAAAATAAAGTTTTATTTGAAGTGATGAACATGTGCATCATTTTCGTACAGATAGAAAATGATTAGAATTATCTAGCAATTTTTAGATATGTCTATGGGATGACTTGTTGAAATTTAATTTTAATCGCCCCAGAACTGAAGAGTACGATGTTTTCTGGATCTGTAAAGGTGGGAAAATATTCTGCCCGTTCATATAATAGGAGAGATACTTCTCTAGGAACTTCTTTATAGGCCTTCCTCTACGTGGGGCTATCATAAACCTGTTTCTCCAACTCATGAATCAGAAAGTTTTATCAAATGGCAAATCATTTCGCTGACCTCTGGAATGGAAACCTCATTATGTATTCAGTAGGTGATAGTGTAATTCAAAGGTATCCCCAGTGCAGGTGTTCTTGGCATTAGCCCATGGCCTCATCCGTAGTCATTGTAACAACAGAAGAAATTAAGACTGAGGCAAAGGAGGTCAGGACAATGGGAAAAATGGCAAATGGCATTCTTTCAAGCAGGAGAAATACTAGCAAAATTACCATAGTCATGCCTCTTACTAGCTTTTCTCCTTTTTCAAGGTCTGGAAAATATTCAGCAGGTTTGCCAAATACAGCAGATTTGCCATTGGAGAACAGAGGCTTTGGTATTTCAAAACAGAAGATTTTTAGACACTGCTTTTGAAATGATTTCAAATCAATGTTTTTAAAGGTTGTCATCTCAGTTGTTAAATTTTTTAAATTAAAAAGGAATATTTTGCATGCACATAATAGGAGGCTCATTATGCATGATTAGATGCAAAATGTTTCCTTAGGCTTTTCTCTTCCACTACCCATATGTAATCTCAGTCTCTCCCTAGTCTACCTGCATCAACTTGGGCAGGCTTTTCTGTTTCCTGTGACCTCCTTCTCTTCCTGGCACCATCCTCCTGGCCGCAAAGGGCATTGGCTTTAAAACTAAAAGCTGTGGCTAAGTTCTACTACCACTGTGGCAATGGCTATTGTGGGAACCAGATAGCTTTTTGTTCCATATTAACTGATGTGATGTAAAAAGTTTTGTACTGAGTGAAATAATAGAGGTGCCCTTACTCCTGGAGCTGCTCTGAATAAGTTAATTCAGAATTGACAGAATAGAAGTATTCAACTATTTTAACCTTGAAATGTACATTTATGTTGTGTTTTGAAGGAAGGCAGAGGGAAACTGATTTTTATTATAACCTACTGTTTTTCCTCTCCTACACAGGCCCACCAAGACTATCACTATGACCGATGGGGACTATGATTATCTGATCAAACTCCTGGCCCTTGGAGATTCGGGGGTGGGGAAGACGACATTTCTTTATCGATACACAGACAATAAATTCAATCCCAAGTTTATCACAACAGTAGGAATAGACTTTCGGGAAAAACGTGTGGTGAGTTTTTAACCATTCTGTTATGTTAACCTTGTTGCTTATTTCTACCCCCCTCCATATAAAATAGAATTAAGAAGCTATGTTTATTGCATTGCAAGGTGTCTGCCTTTTATCACAGGAAATTCATAACCTGTCACTTTGATTCAATTTAGAATATTCTTAATGTTCTCAATTATAAATAACATCTTGCTAAGAAAAATGTGGAGTGGCACTATCACCTGTCTCCAAAAGCGTTTAGGACAAAGAAATAATTCACGGGTTTATATAGTGTGTTTTCTATGAATTCTCTAGGAATCTTTCAAAACTTGAATGATCCGGGTTGCAAAGCCCTTAACTCTTGGTCTGAGTTAAGTTTCTCAATAAGAACTAGTGTTCATTTCTCAACTCTTCAGAGAGAAGTTAAGAGAATGATTGGCAAATAGCTGGAACGTGAGCTTTGTAAGTCCTCGCTGCATTTTTATTTATGTGTAGACTCAGCTATCAATCACTAGCTTATTATGAACAGAATGTGAGACCAGTCCATGCTATTTTCCAAGATAAGGGAGTTTAAGTGAGAATTACAACTGCTTTCTTCTCCTATGCTAGACTCTAATGACAGGAATAAGGATATTATGACATGTGAGACGTGTAGCATAGACACTTAAGCTCAGCCAGATTTCCCGCCGCCCAAGGTATTCTTGATTGCCAACATGGCTGACGCTTCCAGCTGATGTCACAAATCTACTCTTTGCTCGAGACTTGGTGGGGGGAGAAAAGGAAATCGTGGTTGAGAAGTTAAATCATGGTTCTGTATACATCCTGTACCTTATCTGAAGGTCAATACATTTTAGTGTGGTCTTAGCAACCTGGCTTCCAACCCCTCCAGGGTTTTCCTGTGACTTCACCCCTCCCAAATGCCTCCACTGACCTAGGAAGATAAGTCCTTGCAAAGTTTTCCCTTTAAACATTTTTTACTAAACCGTGCTTAAGCTAAACCACACTTTAAACATCTCTACTAAACCATACTTAGGGGAGCCGATGAAGTATTAAAGTTGTTAGGCTTTGCTTAAATAAGAAGCCAAAAGGCCATAATTTTGAAAATTTAAACATTAAGAAAAAGAGCCTTTGGAAAAAACGGCGAGTAAAGGAAGACTTGAAATATCTTGTGTAAACTTATTGAGAAATTCTGTGTATATTTTATGGGTAGGTCACTTTGGAAGTCCAAGGCATAGCAAAAGATATTCCGGTATTAGTAAAGCATTTTAGCATTTTAAAAGTACGTTCACATCTGTTATGTCATTTATTTTCGCAGTAACTCTGTAAAGTAGGAAGAGATTGTGGGTCTCAGTTTGCTATTTGAAAATAAGATTCAAAAAAGTGAAATGAAGGGTTGATATTCGAACCTAGAACTTGGGTCCTAAATCTAATGTTTGCTGCCTCCGTGAGGAAATGACAGAAGGTGTCTAATTTAAGTTTGCAGTATGCCTAAATTGTGTTGAAAATCATACTTGTACTTGACATTTAAAAGTGAGAGTATATGTGATACTTCTGGAAAAAACAGAGCAAATATTTATTCTGCACTATGAACTTTGATTATAGTAATTGAGAAAAAACATGCTGAGTGAACCCAGAGAATTTGAATGTTTACAAAATCCAAAGTAATATCAACTGATGAAAATTGTATCTTTTAGGTTTATAATACCCAGGGACCAAATGGATCATCAGGGAAAGCCTTTAAAGTGCATCTTCAGCTTTGGGACACTGCCGGCCAAGAGAGGTAATAGTAAATTACTTTGTTTCTAGCCTCAAACAGCCAAGAAAAACTTCTTTTAAAGTGAATGCTGTACGTGGACTTGAAAAGCAAATGTTGTACGACTCTTCTCCTGGTTCTAAAATAGACATTTATGTCAAGAAATGAAAATAAATTATTTATAGTTAATTAATGATAACTAGCATTGTGGATTTGGTACAGATTTCAAAAATCAGATCTTTAGCAGTCTCTGGAGATCCTTGTCATATGTTGTCTTTGTACTTTCTAATAGAAAAAAAAAAACAACCTTCTCTAGAATTTAATTAAATTAAAGTGGGAAATTAACCTGATTACAAGTGCAACCTGGAGAGGGAATTGAAGAAGGGGTGGTAAGACCTTTCCCAAGTTTTTCCATTCTTTTGCACAGACTGTCTGTCCTGTGCCTCTTGACTGGCTTAGTTTTCTAAGATTTGGGTCACACCATTGCTCTCTGGCTAGAATGTTTTCCTCCCTCCCCACCCTCCCTGATCCTCTCCTTTCACCAGGCCTGGCTCATGGACCACCTCCTCTGTGGAGCCTTTCTAAATGCCCGTCTGAGACAAACTCCCTCTTTCTGTGAACTCCTACGCCTATCCCACCATCCCTTAAGCTACTCGATTAATTAAATACCACCTTGTAAGAAGGCAAATCTTTGGTTTTTGTCTGTAACTGTGGTCCTTCGATTCACCTGTGGCCTTCTTACCCCAACAAAATTGTCAGCATACCAGGGGCAGAGACCATGCTTGGTTTTCTAGCATCTTCTCTGGTACGATGTCCAAGGCAAGAGAAGCTCAGAAGACAGGAGTGTTGTTTGCTTAGAGCTGGAGGAAAAGATGTTTCTTTGAGATCCAAGGTTTCAAAGGGCTAAAGACCACAAGCTAGTGAAGCTTTTCAATATCAGATTAAATAAAAATTGGCAGTAGATTGTCAGAGAAGACGTTTAGAAGGCACATACCTCCAAATTCTGCATCACATGTCTTAGAATGTTTATGCTTGTAAACACTTTAGTTTTTGAAATGCGTCCAAAGTGTTCTCGCTCTCAGTGAGTGTAAACGCCAGGAGAGGCGCTGGGCCCTCTCCGTTAGCTCTTTTGACTGTGAATTCCATTTACACACATTCTTCAACACGGCTAGTTCTTCTGAAGTCATTCCTCACAAGAATTTCTGTCCATATGTCAGTTTTGTTGTCACAAAGATGTATGTTTCATAGGCCAATTTAATTCACTTTTGAAGAAGTAATATGAGAAAATGTGGTTCCCATATGTCCTCACACATGATATGTCAGCCTCACATGATGGTAGGCTTCTCCCCTCTGCCCCCCTAAGACGGCTGCTCTCTGAGGGAAGTGAGGAAAACTAGGGACAGTCTTAGTACCACGGAGATGATTCATCCCTCGAGAATTTTGCATTCTGTATAAACTAAGGTGTAACTATGCAACAAGATAAACAGTGTCTCACACCTCAGCCCTGTGCCTAAAAACATCTGGCAGTATAACCCATATAAGATTATGGTTATTGATAAAAGTGGTATCATGGAACGAGGAAAAATCATACCCCTTATGTAAACCTCAAGCATACAGGACACAGCCTTAGTTCCCAGTGAGGGAGAAAGTAATAATGTGACTCTGGGATCTGTTTTTGTTTTTTGTTTTTTTTAATGTGGTCCCAGCTTTTCCCACCCTACTGACTCACTGGACAGAATGAGACTGGTGAATAAAGCTGGAAATCAATTACCTTTCCCCTGGAGTCACCTTGGGAAGAAAGGGGATAACAAGGGTGCTGGGCAGAATGGTCTAGGATATAACCTGTTCTAGAACAAGAATGTCCTATCCATGTTGCTGTAGATGCAAAAATGCTTACCCCAGTGAAATCCACACGACAAGCATGTTTTAAAAGTAATGTAGCCCCACTAAGCAGAATGGCCCTCTTGTACTTCCGTGTGCCCCTCCCCCCCATGGTGACAATGACACTCATCCCATGCTGCGTGTGTTGATTTAGCATTGTCTGCAGTGTACTGCAGTGAAATGGGTGTCAGGCCATCACCATTAACACAAATTTTTTAAAATGAAACCTTTACCGGGCCCCTGGGTGGCTCAGTCGGTTAAGCGGCTGCCTTCAGCTCAGGTCATGATCCCAGGGTCCTGGGATGGAGCCCCGCATTGGACTCCCTGCTCAGCAGAGAGCCTGCTTCTCCCTTTCCCTCTGCCTGCAGCTATGCCTACTTGTGCTCTATCTCTCTGTCAAATAAATAAATAAAAAATATCTTAAAAAAAAATGAAACCTTTACCAAGCGAGCGTCTTTGGACTCTGTTTTTAAAACCTTCTGAGCCATGACTTGGAGCCAGCAGAGTAGGCTGTGAGTGTGGACTTCAGCACAACCATCAGCAATGCTGTTCGAGAAATTAGAATTTATATCCACTTCAAGTTGTAAATGCTAGCCTTTTTTTCCCAATAAAAAGGCCATTAACATAAAAAAATGACTTTCTCATGTGCTATGGGCAATGAGAGGGGGCTATGGCACAGTCTTGTCCTTAAATGAGACATACACAGACACATTCTCTCTCTTTCTCCCTCTCTCTCTCTTTTTGGGAGAGAACAGAGAGCAGTTGTCTTAGCCACACTATTGTAGTTGAGGAGGAGACAATTTTGTGAATGCAGCTAGTCCCCAAAGAGAAAGAAAACTTCAGTAAAAGCATCTTTGTGAGCTTCCAGCAACTGGTAGGAACAATTCCACAAGAAAAAACTGAGTAAAATTTTTGGTATTTCATAATTATCATGATTAATGCCTTACCAAAAAATCAAATTTAGAAATAGTCATTAAAATATCTATTCTCTTTGCTTTGGTATTAAAAGAATTGTTCTCTACTGAAGTCATTGACATCTTTAATACTTGAATATCCTTTGCTACTCTCTTTCTCTTTTTTTCTTTCTCTTAATTTGACAAACATTTTGTGAGCAAATATGTTCAAGACCATGAAGATATAGTGGATAGCAAATTAGAAACATAACTCCTGGGCGCCTGGGTGGCTCAGTTGGTTAAGCGACTGCCTTCGGCTCAGGTCATGATCCTGGAGTCCCGGGATCGAGCCCCATATCGGGCTCCTTGCTTAGCAGGGGGTCTGCTTCTCCCTCTGATCCTCCCCCCTCTCATGTGCTCTCTCTCTCATTCTCTCTCTCAAATAAATAAATAAAATCTTTAAAAAAAAAGAAACATAACTCCTTTCCTGTTGGAGCTCACAAGTCTAGAGTGGAATTTGAACAGGTAACAAACAATTGCAATACAGCCTTAGGACAGTGCCAGGAAAACAACAGGTGATGGGCAGGTGCACCAGAAGGAGCCTATAACCCAGATGTGGGTATTAGGAAGGCAGCTTGGGAAAGTGCTATTTCCTCTGAGACTGTTATGTATATGTAACATATAGTCATACACAATGTATGAGTGAGTGAGTCTTATCCAGGCTAAAGAGGTAGGACGTAGAGGAAGCATTAAGGCCAGGTTACCCACAGAAAGAACAGCATGTGTGAGAGCTTAGGGGGAGAGTGAACTTTCTAAGAACTAAAAGATCAGCATGCCTACGGGTAGTCAGGAGATGAAGCTGGATAGATGAGCAAGGGCTAATTCACGCAGAGCCTGACAGCATATTAGAGAGTTCAGTCATTATCTTAAGAGCATCATTTAGATGTTTGTAGCAGAGGATTTATATAGTCAGCAGGAAGGGATCGGTGAAGGGGAGGGTCCCAAACAAAACTGGAGACAAGAAGCCTGTTAAGAAGATGGTTGAAAATATTCAGATGAAAGAGGATAGGCTCAAAACTAGAGTAGATGGACAGAAATGACAAGGTCAGGAGATGCTTGGTGATTATATACAGTAGGTGAAGGAGAAAGAAGCCATGCTTACCCCAAAGATGGTGATGCATTGATAGGAGAAGAGATCAGGAGGAGGGGCCAGGTTGGGTTTAGACTCGTGAAGTTAGAGGTGCCTCAGTTTCCTCCAACCGGAAACACACAACATGTAATTGGGCACACAGTGTGAATGACAGGACAAATCTACGCCTGTTCATTTGGGGTTCAACATATAGGTGATGATTGAGCCCAGGGAAGTAGATGAGATTACTCACTCAGTGAATGTATGTATAGTGGGAAGGGGTTGAGAATAGAACTCCAAGGAAACCAAAGAATCCACAAATAGGCTAAAATAGGAGACCAAAAATTAGGAGGACATTTAGGATAGGAAGTGATAGTCTATATTTCAAAGTTCTGTGCCTTTCTAAAAACCCCTTTCCAAATTCAGTTCTGTATCAGTATAACCCAAACCTTCTCTGGTCCCTCTGTGTGGTCTCTGGTTTTGCCCATTCCTGCCACTGAAGTGGATCTCAGCACACCTTCAATTTTACTGAAGAGTTCGGGGTGGAGGAGGTTGGAGCAGAGGAGAGAAGTCTTTACACAACAAATGACAGAGTGTATTCTTCAAAATCCTCCAGTAGAGATGAGCGTTCTTGCTTTCTGTCTCCAACTACTACATCTCTCTGACTTTGTCTTGCTTCCCCTAAGCATCTTCTTCTTCGTCCTTTCTTCAGTGTTTTTCCCTCTTCCTCATGAGACATGGATGCCAGACTAAAATTCAGCTTTACCCCCACAGTGCTTATAAAAGAATCTTCTCATCAACGTTGTTTTTTCCCTGCAAAAGAACCCCAGTTTCAGTTGCTAACAAGTTGTGGTTTTCTTTTTTTTAGATTTTATTTATTTTTTTGACAGAGAGAGATATAGCGAGAG